TTGTAGTTTTATTATTTTGTTACTTTATTATTTCAACTAGATGTTTCACACAGTTTAATTTTATTGAATAGTTTTGTCTTCTAGAGAAGATGTTTTGGAGAAGTGGACTTTAGAACATCACACATATTATTACCATTTGACACGTATTGAGCCAAACAGTCCCTAGTGTTCAAGCCGTTCCCTGATACCACATTGGATTCCATGGGCAGCTATATGTATTAAAGACTCTATAGCAGCTAACTGCTACCTGGACAAGGCAAAAGGTATAAATCAACCCACTATCTATTATGCCGTTCTGTATCCAATATCACACTTTAAACAGGTAAAAAGCCTAGGGAAAAATAGAAATATGAAATTTAATTCCATATGACAAATATAAATTTTATATAAAATAAATCATATACATACATACATAAAATATTGTGACCAAAATAATTTTTAAGTATCTAATTGAGTATTTATCTACATTTTTCCCCATAGGTGTGAGATGTCAAAAGAACATTAATTATATGTGGAATAAGAAGCAGCTGGGAAGCTGGGAATTCTAGAAAATAATCACTTCTAGTATCTTCCCTCTGTGTAGATCATAACTTAAACCCAGTGTGACTGATTTGTTTATGTTTGAAGAGAGTGGGGAAAAGAATTGTTGAAGAAAGCTAGCATGACTTTCAGGTAGCTGGTCTCCACCCAGAATAGCTTTCATTGTCCCACTTGTACTTTTCTAGTCTGTCTTTGCATTTGCTACTTTCTGAAGATAAAGTGTACCATGCTAAACATAGATTTGACATAAACCAATTGCTATGTACCAGAAATTCTATACCTCATGAGACACTTCCTGAACATTCTGAATTGCTGGGTATCTTCTAGCAGCTCTCCAGCTTCCTTCGTAGCAGGACAGATTTCTCTATCAGAGGAGTGTGGTGGAGGTGAGCTTGGGTCCTGCTAGCATTTGAAAATTGCGTGTAATTTCTTAGAGAAGTGGAACAGCAGGTAAATACAATTAAGCCGAAATCAGGCCTGGAAGAGAGTTGCTGAGCCTCAGCATTCTGTTGTCAGAAGTCAGAGAATAATTGGATTAAGTTAAAGACTTATCTAAAAGAAAAGCCAAATCTGGAAAAATCAAGAAAATTTTAAAGAAAACGGGAGAATTAGTTCTATAAGTGATAACTCCTCAGTATATTATGACTGGTTTCATTCTCAGAGAGCAGTTAAGGTAAGAAAAGCCAAGAGAGAATAATAAAATGACACAAGATATTTTATAAAAATGTTAAATTCCAAAGTAAGATTTGTGTGAAAGACTACCAAATTATTCCAAGTGTTTTTTAACTTCAACTTCTTTGGTAGAGTTGATCATGATCTCCTTCAACCTAGAAAAGAGGATGAGCTGAGGAACTTCTCGGGTTTTTTTATGGAGTGTTTTCTGACATGCAATAAGAGGATTTATTTCTCCTGCCACCCAGTTCTCCAGTACCAGCTAAGTGTCCAACAATTCAATTCAATTCTGACACTAACTATCCAGAGTTAGCCCAGACCCCGCAGATTAAGGACTCAGCCCCACAAAACTGCCTCCACTTCACACTTCACCTACAAATGGGGTGCCCTGGCTACCTGCATTTCTGCCCAGCTGAGTACAAATTCAGAGGTTCCCGCAAGCCCCCCTCAGGCTCAGTAGTTCGCTAGAATGACTTGCAGAACTCAGGAAAGTACCTTACTTAATATTTCTGGTTTATTATAAAGGCTACAACTCAGGAACAGCCAAATGGAAACATGGTATAGGGCAAGGTGTTGGGGGCGGAGGTGCTGGGGAGGGTGTGAGCTTCCATGTCCTCTCTGGGTGTGCCACCCTCCCAACACCTCCATGTGTTGACCAACCCAGAAGCTCTCTGGACCCCAGTTTTTAGGATTTTTATGGAGGCTCCATTATATAGGCATGATTGACTAAATTCTTAGCCATTGGTGATTGAACTCAACCTCCAGTCCCTCTCCCCTCCCAGCAGGTTGGGGAGAGGGAGCTGAAAGTTCTAATTACATTTTTTGGTCCCTCTGGCTACCAGTCCCCATCCTGAAGCTATCTAGAGGCCCACCAAGAGTCACCTCATTAGCATAAACTCCAGTAAGGTTGACAGGGGTCATTATGAATAACAAGAGACATGCTCATCATTCAGGAAATCCCAAAGGTTTTAAGAGTCCTGTGCCAGGAACTGGAAGAAAGACCGCATATATTTTTCATTATATCACAGAACCAAATTATGCAACGCCTCGCATAAGCTTCCTCAGTATCCTCGGGGGATTGACTCCTCTTCTGAGACCAAATTAGATTTTTGGAACTAGCGAAAAACAATGCTTCTCAACTTTTCCAGAAGTTATGAAGAAATTAATACTCTACAGTGTGTTTCAAAACTTATGACCAAAGCAAAGTAATACAGTTTTAGCGAGCTTAAAATCCTCCAGTTAGTAGAACTAACATTTAGCTAACATTTAACTTGACTTCTTTGCATACTGTGATTTACACAGGAGCTTCGTTCTTGATTGAGTTTATATATGAAGGTGTCACATGCCTACGTGTTATCAGATGGTTTCCTCCTCCTTGATTCTGAAAGATGCTTTCACTTCCTTCTGTTGAGTGTGTTCTGTTGAGAGTGTTGGTTATTCTTTCAGTACTGACAGCTCATAGAGAATGCTTACTGTGGCAGAGCTTTCCTTAGGTAGCTCCTTGTAAACCTATAGATGAACTACACTAGTCTCTTTTTTCAGTGTGCTCACTATAGGTCATGGCCAAGATGGCTCAAGTCATAAATGCTTTGGATCCTTTTTGAAAAACACATGAAAATATCCATGTGGTAGGCAGAATAATGCCCCTCCCCAAAAGTTGTCCTCATCCTAATCTCCAGAATCTGTGAATATGTTGTATTACCTTACATAGCAAAGGGAAATAAAGTTGCAATGGGATTAAGGTTGCTAAACAGCACACAGGGAGATTATCCTGAATGACCTGGATGGGCTCAATGTCATCACAAATTCTTAAAAGTGAGAGAGGGAGCAGAGGAGGCGAGAGATATGAGATGTGCTGTATGGTAAGGAACGACCCCACTGTTGCTAGCTTTGAAGATGGAGGAAGGAGAACACAAACCAAGGCATGCAGGGGGCTTCTAGAAGCTGGAAAAGCAAAGGAACTGGATTATCCCCTAGAGCCTTCAGAAATAGACACAGCCCTGCCAACACACTTATTTTAGCCCAATGAGACCCATGTTGGACTCTAGCCTACAGATTTTAAGATAACAGATTTGTATTGTTTCAAGCCACTGAGTTCGTGGTGATTTTTTACAGCATCAATAGAAAACTAATACAATCTGGGATTGTGTTTGCAGTAACCATTCTAAAACAAACCTACGTCTCATTTCTGAACAGCGAAGCGAAAGGTTCCACTCTAAGAGAAGCAAAGGTTTGCACAAGGAGGGGCCCTCATTGGTCTCCAGGTCCCCTTGTTCCTTTCCTGATGTGTGCCAGCAAAACGTAGACATGTGAATGACAATTAATAAAGGAAATGTGATGGCCTGCCTCATAAAAAAAGTATCTATTTGTTAGAGAATTAAAGATACCACCACTCTGTTCTTATGTTAATTCTTAGAAGCTCTTTCGTTATTATGAGAACAACAATTCTACTAGAAGTCTTCATTCATACCTGTGTGCTTGTGTCACGTACATAAAATAAATTAGAAGATGGTCTTACTGTTTCCAGAAACTCTGCCTAATTCTTCATGTAATTTAGTTTTCATATAACCAAGCTTTTTTTTTTCCTTACCAAGTTTGAGAGTGGAGAAACTTCAGGTGCTGATATACTAATTAGTCTTTGTGTCAGTTACACAGAACACATATTTGTTCTCTTTAATATGTGTTCTTTGAGCCATGGATGTCTCTAATAGTGTAGCATGGTTTAACCTCTCCAAAAATCAGCATCAAAAAGAATTACAGTGACTTAGAACAGTGCATTCACACACACAAAAAAAGAAATGGTGAGAATGAAACAACTGAAAATTGTACTTTGTTATCTGCTTCCATATATAAGCTCCTTGAGGGCAGAGATCGGTTCTCATTGATTATCTTATCCCTAGCGCCATAATAAATCCTTGACAAATGAATGTTAAATGCAAACTTTTTTCACAAGGCACTAACAAGGAATATCTTGAACTTAGCACTGCCTTGTTTAATTTATATTCATTGCCTTCTCAATGCCATAGGGCTATTTTATAGACTACCAAACTTGAAGCCAGTCACTTGCCAAAAGGCCACTGAGAGAAACTGGAAAAATGAGAAACAGTGCTTCCAGTTCAGAGCTCCCCAGTCCTGTTTCCTGAACTATACAATTCAGCATGCCCTGAAAGAGATTCGGGCAAATTTTAAAGAGGTCAGAAATCAGGAAAAATTAACTTTAACCACGTTGAAAATATAGAAGAAGTGTTTTCTTTAAAGTAATATCACAATGAAAGACTATGCCCCACAATTTCTCTTAAAAAAGAAAAAATACTTTCTGTTATAATCATTTTGGGATTCGCTCTCTGTTTCAAACAGATACTTCATTCTCTTCAAAGATGAGGAATAGTCTTAGTCAATTGGCTAGACCTTTGATCTGTTCACTAGGGAAGACGTTATCCCAAAACTACAAGACTAGATCTGATCTTGTACTTACGTCAAAGTCATCAATACTCTGGGGGTTTGTCTCTTTTCTGTTGACCCTGTGAGATTGCTCCTGAGAGCTGAATGATAGTTGAATGGCAGTTAACTACTTATTAAACATCCCTAAGAGGGTTTTGTGATTTACTCCGAAACTTGGGTCAATCTCAAGGTTCCAAAGTGTATAGGGACATTATTTTCAAATCATTCCACTCCTTGAGTTTGAGAAGTCATTTGTGCTTGGCGTGAGGCTGTCCGGAAGTTGATGTAGTACTGGGAGGGTGGAGCAAAGGGGAAGGGAGGGTCTCATGGTAGACTACGATGCTATGCTGGGGTGAGGCTTCAGTCAGTGAGCTTCACACAAGAATCGTAACCCAAATAGAGGAAACCCTAACGTATTCTTTGTAAATTATTTGTTGCCGGGTTGGTTCTAGCAGTGATGTCCGTTCCCAGAAGTGCAACATGCACACAAAGCATTTAGTATTAATAATGAAGTACAAAGTATAATGTGAATATCTGGACAAATCACTGCTTTTCACATGGGCAAGGATAAACATTCTGGACATTGCTTAACAGTTTTCAAAAGTCTAATATTAGAAATCAGTGTCTTTTTGAAAGGTGTGGCTCCCTGCCGCACCAGTCTTCCATATGCCATCCTATTCATTTGGTTTTCTCCCTTTTTAGCCAGCTTGGCTGAACTAATCACTAGAGGTTCCTTCTCCCCAGATGCTCACTAGAAACAGTTCGATAGTTTGACATTTCTGGAAGGAATGCATGATTTTAATGCCATCAAACTACACATAATGAGGAAAAAGGAGAAGAAGGAGGAAGAAGAAGAGAGTCAGTAACATTGGCACAAGGGCTTTCTGCTGAGTCTGGGAAAGCTGGTCTGCTGGCCGGTCCTGCGTCCAGGCACCAGCCCTCAGGCTCTCAGGCTGAGGCAGTGTCCTGTGAAGACTATAATTGAAGCGACCATTGAGATCCTGGAGTCCTCAAATGTCTGATGGTGTTTCTGGTGCTGTAGCCTCTGACCCTGGTCCAAAGTTAAACCATCAATGCCCAATCAACATACTTTTCCATATAGATCTTGAAAAATGACCCAGATCTCTAAGATAGAGTTGCATTTGAGAAGTAAATCATGATTTGTCAGTAGCATACTTTAAATAGACAGCATAACTCTGAAGGCTAATCCAGGCAAAATGTGAGCCTAGCAGTACCTGAATCTCCTGACAGCATCAGCACATCCCTCCTTCGCAATCTCTGAACATTTAGGAGTCGTGTTCTACTATGTAATTTAAAAAACTACTTTCAAGACACTCCAGGATATTTATGTCACACGTTAAATTTTTTCATTAATATAGTTATGAAAGTGAGTATTTCTCTGAAAAGACTTTAGCGTGATTAGTCATGTTTCTAAACCAACCAGAACACTTCTTTGCACCCGGAAGTTGACTTAAAAAATATGAAATCATATGTAATCATTAAACAAATGTGAATCCTATAACCTTAAAAATTCAGAATTACTGACATTTTTTAAATTGCTTTTTTGATTTTTTTTTTGCCATTCAGATGTCTCATTCTGGTTCCAGATTTGGCCATTTGATAAATGTCAGTGATGCCCCCGAATTCATTCATGCGCTAGGGGAATCTCTAAAGTCAGCAACTGCCTTCTGTCCCTTGTGGATTTGTTGAAATCTCTTTTCCTATCTGTCTTTCCACAGTGAATGAATTCTACATTAAAACTTACTGGTTTCAATAAGTTTTAAACCATGTTGCTATCCAATTCATATTGTGTTTCAGACGATTTGATTAAAAACTATAAAAGAACTACTTGCAACAAAAGCTTCTCAGAGCGGAACACAAACACTCGTGAAGTGGGCATGTAGGACTTACCCCACGCTCACAGCTTTGGAGGGAAATATATACAGAAGAGGAATAAATCACAAACTGAGTCCCACCCCTAGGCCTCCTTACACGTGAGTCAAGGAGGTTTAAATGTGCAGTGGCCAGTCTTTCTACAGGCCAATCTTAGTTACGCATCCCAGCTTTCAGTGTCTCACAGGAAAGGGAGGAGGTCTTTGCTTAACGAAGATATAGAAAGAAAACCAGCAACATCGTCAGTATTAAAGTCAGCATAATAACATTGTCCAAAAAACAGACTCATTCATAAATCATAGTCATTGGAGCCTTGCCCTTCAGTGAGATCTCTCTTTTGATTAAAATTAAAATTAAGCATATTATATGCAAATGAGGAGGTTGACTTTTTTGATATTTGAATAATAATTTGGTAGTTCTGGGATATTTACATGCACTTTATTATTAATACACTCTTAAAGTTTGGATGTTTCCAATTTGGATGGCATATATTTGAAAGCAGTTTTTCTCTAAGCCAGGAAACAAATTAAACAGTGCTTATTAAAAGTGAGCTTTTATGCCTAAAACTTTAAATTTGCAAATCCACGTAGAATACAAACTGTAAACAGTCCCATGCTTTGCTGGTAACACAGGCTATCCTGGGGCACAGAAGCATGAGAGTGCTTCCATTATTGAGCATAACCTTGTGAAGAAGTTGCAGCATTAGAGATATTTTCCCTTCTCTAACACTTCTAAGGAGTAATTTAGAGCTTTTTGCCATCGGAGATGTTACAATGTTTAATGAAATAGCCTGTATAAGGTGTTGGACTAGAAGAAACTGCAACATTCAGTTTCTATATAACGTTTTTCACCACTGTGGATAACTCGTCAGATTACAGAGGGGGTGATCACTGGTTTACTAGATTATGAACTTTGTCTCTGATCTAGATAATTTGGGGTACTTTGATTTCATTATAGAAGTTCCTAGACTACTTGTGGGATAAAACAAATGCTGCGACCGTATTGAGTTTCATCAAGCTGAATTAGCAGAAAATAAAGATAAAATGCCTTTCTATTTAAGAACATGATGATGTTTTAATTGTTACAGCATTTGGCATGCCTAGTGTATACAATCCTTGACATTCGCATAATCACAAAAGAAAGTTGTTTGGGATTTTTCTTTTATTTCCTAGTTTCCCCTTTCCTCTCTAGTATTTCTCCCACCCCCATCCCAGCCCTGGCTTTTAGCTCTCCTCGCATTTCTCCATCCTTTTACAAAGAAAAACTCTATGCAGGGAAGGGATACATGTAAAAATACCTCATTTCTAAGTAGATGGGCCAAAGCTGCTTATTACCTCGCTGTGATGAGCAGACCACCACCGTTGTGACAACTGATGTAGATGCCTCCAGGGTAAAACAAAGGTTTACATATTACACAAGCAATTTAACTGTTTTCTAAACATATTGCCAAGACAGTGGGAGTTGGCAGCCCACACTGTGTTTTAGGTTTTAGAGGCTTGGATTAGAAGTGACTGCTGATTATGAACCTTTTTTTTTGTCTTCTATGAACTACAAGCAACCTAGTAACCCAGCAAAGAATTCTTCACAGCCCTTAAACTTGTCTTCCTAGCTTCCCAAGATTACATACACAAATCACTTGACAAAAGTGGTGCAAGGGTCTTGTGCATAGATAACCACGCAAGACAATTGTCTTGTTCTAACCCTTAAAGAGTTCCGCAAAGTGAAATGTTTTATAATCCTTTTTTGTGCAGTGGGCAAGGAAGAAAAGAAAAGAGTTTGGGCAAAGATTATCCAGAAGAAAGAAAGAGACTCTTTTGGGGTTCCAGTTGAAACACAATAAAGAACATAATTAACTTCACAATTCTTTGTGTTTTTCATTTGACTGCAGGGAGGAGATGAAAGAGGACTGCTAAGCCTTGCATTCCATCCCAATTACAAGAAAAATGGAAAGCTGTATGTGTCTTATACCACCAACCAAGAGCGGTGGGCTATCGGGCCTCATGACCACATTCTTAGAGTTGTGGAATACACAGTATCCAGGTATCACTAAAACGCATCGAGGCAGAAATATTTCTTAATCTTATTTTCTCATTATCTCTTCATAATTTTTTGTTTAGAAGTTACGAACAAATAGCCATAAGGTAGCAATAATTAAATCATAATCTCCCTCTTGCTTAAAATCCAGTACGTTGTCTTTAAGGAAAATTGAGAAAAATGATAGTTTGGACACTTTTCCTTAATTGTCTTTCAACTCAAGTACTACTTCTGAAACTTAGAAAATAATGTAACTCTTAGGTCATTTTTATTTGCTCCATTTCAAGTGTATGTTTCTTTATTTACATGCCAGGTATACACTTCCCTGTTTGTGTACTATTTACTTTCTAATGGATAGACCTTACATCTTTAACAATCACAGTATTGTTTCCTCCCCCCATGTAGAAAAAATCCCCATCAAGTGGATCTGAGAACTGCCAGAGTCTTTCTTGAAGTGGCAGAACTCCACAGAAAGCATCTGGGGGGACAGCTGCTTTTTGGCCCTGATGGGTTTTTGTACATCATTCTCGGTGATGGGATGATCACACTGGATGATATGGAAGAAATGGATGGATTAAGGTAAAAGAAAAAAAATACCTTCCTCTTGATGTTAAAATGTTTTAAGTGCCAGGAAAAGGGTCAAAGTCAGTGAGTTTAAGAAGTCTTTGAATTATATCACCTTGGTTAAGTATTTAACTTTTGTTATCAGTGTCTGCATTTATAAAATGCAGAGGAATTCAATAATATGCTGATATCATAGTTTTCAAAGTCATTATACCCAGATGTCCTAAAACGAGTTACTGCTGTGTGGTTTGCGCTCTGCACACAGCTATATGCACAGCCCTGAGAACAAGCAGCACCTCGTGCTCCAGGCAGCCGCTGCTGTTCAGCTGCCCTGTGCATCCAGGTGGCCTTCAACACTCTGCATAATGGACTAACATGGTCCAGTGGAGCTTCTTGGGAGACATAAAACATATGGATTGGCAAAAAATAAACAGGACAGATGCAAAAAGTAGCGCACCACTGATGCTGCAATCCTTGACCACCACCGAGCTGTGTCTTGGTGCTGTCACTTGTCTTAAGCCAAATGGCCCCGGTTCCATTTCCCACAATATGGAATTTGGAATTTGAATAACTTTGTCTTAAATGGGGGATGAGTCTTTTATCTATCGAGCAATCTCTTGTATTTAGTTTAGGTGAAATACATAACAAAAACAGAAAACACTTACATCGTCCTCCAATTTCTTAGTGATTTCACAGGTTCGGTGCTCCGGCTGGATGTGGACACAGACATGTGCAGTGTGCCGTATTCCATACCGAGAAGCAACCCGCACTTCAACAGCACCAGCCAGCCCCCGGAAGTGTTTGCCCACGGCCTCCACGATCCAGGCAGGTGAGAACACAAGCCTGTCGTCTTGCCTGCTGTAAAGCCAGACTGGGATTCCGGAACTGGGAAAAGAAGGAGAGCACCAGGCACAGAGCAGCTAAGAGTGGTGTCCAAGATTGTGCCTCTAAAATCACACCAGCTCATCATCCGAGCACTCTTTCTCCTGTTATTAGTGTGTGAAGCATTTTGCGAAGGCAGATTAGACACAGAAAAGGACAAATTCCTGGAGAAAAATTGCCTTAAAGTTTTGGAAGGTTATTATTGGTTAAATGCTGTTGGACTAGTGTAATGATTAAGACCTTAATTTTTCAAATTCAGAGAGATAATAAACCTTTTAATTTGTCTCCTTAAACCCCTCTAAATGATCATTTCCTTATATGTTAAGTGGAGGTGATTATAGCTACCTTGCAAGGATGCTGTAAGAATTAAATACAAATCTGTAAGTAAAGCAAAAAATAGAGTGTCTGACACACCTGGGAGGTTTTAAATAAATTATAATTCTTATCGCAGCTTCATTTAACATATGATGATACACTATCAATCTGTAAGGAGTTGAGCTAAATGTTTTTTCTCTTGGAAAAAATTTCAAATACTAAAGGAATTCATCTTGACAGTTTACTATAATGAACCACAAAGAAAGGAACATTAAGAAGTATGTAGAGCAAGAAATTCTGGGTACACTTAAGAAATGCTATGGCGTGCATAGCAATTCTGTGATGAAAGTTTCATCCAATCTGTGGTCTGTTATTCATACGAAGGGCTATCTGGCCACATTCATTCATTTACTAGCTTAGTTATTATTGCTATTTAATGTTTATTGAGTGTTCACTATGTGCAAGGTGGGTATTTCTCGAACTTTTATTTTTATAATCCCTCATGCCCTTCATCTCCCCTCCATCAAAGTCCAACTCTACAGTTCATTTCCTTTTTGGCATCTCAGCAGATCTTAAAATCTGTGCGACAGGGAATACTTAAGGTGGGTTCAGGATGTGGAGGAAACTGTCACATTCCATTCCTATAGCTCAGAGCTCGAAGATACCAACACAAAGCAGCACTTTGAAGTTGAGCAGCCTGAGTCACCACAATCCCACTGGAGTTTTCGTGCAGCCTTCCCGGAGCTCCTGAACCCTCAATGCAAAAATACAGGGTGAAGTGCTTTACAGACCTATCACATGGCAGGATGCCTGTGCTGTGAAGTCTTTACCTCCTCCAGCCACAGAGGGCTGAAGGAAAAGTCCACCTCCCTCCAAGACTATTTCAAGCAGAGGAAGATTTAATAAAGCAAAAAGGAACTAAAATAATTATTGGCTAAAACTAAAGCTGACTTTTATTAATCACCTTGGTGCAGAGTACTGAACTAAGTATCTTGTGCGCATTATCTCATTTCTGCCTCTCAGCAGTAACTGGCATCAAGCACCTCCCTTTTTTTTTAAGACTTCAATTTTAGAGCCATTTGAAGTTCATAGCAAAATTGAGCAGAAGGTGTGGAGATTCCCACATACCACCTGCCCCCACACGTGCAGGACCTCCCCCATTATCAACATCCCCCACTAGAGTGGTCCATTTGTTACAACTGGTGAACCTGACACATCACAGTGGCCCAAAGATCATAGTTTAGGGTTTACTCGGTGTTGTACGTTCTATGGACTTGGCCGATTGTGTAATGACATGTATCCACCGTTACAGTATCAAACAGAGAAGTTTCACTGTCACTCCTCTTTTCTTACATAAGAAACTAAAGCTCAGAAGAATCAAGTGGTTCTCAGTGGACCTAGTATTCAGCTCTAGAGCTAGACCTTATGGCCCCCAGCATCTCCACCTTTGGGAGACCTGGCCTCTTCTTCCAGATTTGCTCTTTCTTGTTAGAAACAAGTCAAACTTTTTTTTTTTGTCATAGTTTCTCCATCTTCAAAAGAAAGGCAATACAGGAAAATTTTCTCCCCCTGAATGGATTTGGTTCCACCTTAAGACACAGCGCGCTCTGTCCTGATCCCTGCCAGGCATTGTATTCTGTGAATCATTGAATTAAAGAGGACAATAAAGGGACTGTTGCCACAGAACAACTAACCCATCTTTGGCAGGTCAGGCTTACAGTTTCCCCATTATAAATGGGATCATTCAGAGCCAACAGTTTTTGTTTTGTTGTTTAAATAATTTCTGCATTTGACTCATGTCTCTTAAGCCCTAGAACCTACTCTCAGATTTTTTTATTTTTTAATAATTTTATAGCCCCAATGGTTTTTTGTTGTTGCTGGGGTTTTTTGGGTTTTGGTTTTTTTTAAGTCATTAATGTATTTTCTTGGTCTAAAACAGTGATTCTCAATGGGATGGTTTTACCCCCAGAGGACATTTGGCAATGCCCAGAAACATTTTTGGTTTTCACAACTTGGGAGGAGAGGATCATTACACTGACATCTAGTGGTTGGAGGCCGGAGATGCTGCTAAACATCCTACAATGCTCAGTACAGCACCTCCCTCACTCCCACCCAGAGAACTACCTGGCCCAAAAGTCAATAAGGACAAGGTTGAGAAACCTGAAAAAAAAAATGCAACACTGTTTTCCATATTCGTGAGAACGTCAAAAATTATATTGTTCAACTTCTTTCTTCCTCCAACCCAAACTCCACATGCCCAGTCCTTCACTGACTAAAACATACAACTAATATTGAGCCCCTTTGTGTTCCCAGGTTTGAACTAGGTAACAGAAATACACTGATAACGAAGTTGGAAGTAGTCCCTGTCCTCAAGGAGTTTACAGTCAGTGGCTTAAGTCACAGAAATATTCTGGCCCCAGATTAGGGGTGACATGAAGACACAGTCAACTTAAAAGCCCATAATGGTTGTTAGGGATGGCTTTATTTTTATCCCCTAAATCGGAGTGCACACTTTCCTTTGTTAGAGCAGCCTGAGCTTTAGAATATAGCAATCCATATAAGAAACATAAACTCACAAAATTAATGCTATAACTAATTCTATATTGTGAGTTCCAGGTGTGAGTTGATGCTGCTGATGATTCTTATACTTTACCAGTGTATCATATATGTGATATTCCTTAAGAGCAGGCTAACAAATGTTTTAAGTCAGTGTACACATTCATAATGGAGGGAGATACCAAGAGAAATTAAGAAATATTCTCCAGAGACCATTCAGCTTCAGCAGAGTAAACAAACACATCAGGATGTTTCCTTCAGTGGTTTCTAGAGGATCCAAACTAAATAGCCCATAGGATCCTTGCCAGCCCACAAAGGGTTCCTATGTCAGGAATCTTCAATCTGAGTTTGGAAGATATTCCTGGTAGGAATTCATGGGTGTCCCTCCCTTTTGTTATTCAGATGTGCTGTCGATCGACATCCCACTGATATAAACATCAATTTAACAATACTTTGTTCAGACTCCAATGGAAAGAACAGATCATCAGCCAGAATCCTACAGATAATAAAGGGGAAAGATTATGGTAAGTAGAGCATAATTTGTTGATTTGGCTTTAGTTTGGGCTTTGTTTTATTTTAGTCTATTAATTGAAGAGAAAAGGATTTCTGCAAAATGAACATTGGGAAAGCATAAAAACACTGGCCTAACAGTGGTGAGGGAGTAAATTGCTCACATTTTAAAGGTCCAATGGCTCTTACGAGCCCTAGGTGTTCCATTTGGGTAATTACCTTTCCCATGAATTGAATGGTGCTCTGTAGGTCCAACAAATTTAATGGACCTTTAAAAGTTAGCAGTTTAGATTTTGCTCATCTGAGAATCAAGATGAATACCTTCTATTTATTTAACGTATAAGAGAGGACTTGTCTTAACATTTTATACACAGAGGAAAAAACAAATGTTACAGGTAAGAAATTTCTCAATACCCAACATACTTGTCTCAGCAATTAGGAAAATTATAAGTGTTTCAAATAAGAATGTAATTTTTTAAAGGTGTTTATTTTACAGAAAACAAAGTAATAGACTTGTAAAAACATGTTATTTACCCAAATCATGGAAATGAGACATTTGGACATTATTTTTAATAACATGATTACTAGAATATTTAGAGTACACATACAAAAAATAAAGTTGGATAATCATGAAGTCCAAAAAACTGAATATTTTTCAATGTTTTAGTATTTACTCTTTTTGGAGGAAGCAATATATCAAATATTATTATGATTCAGGGAACACAGTAGATTAAGATTATTAAATTGATTGCTTCTTCTATTTACTCATTCAATACAGATATTTATTTAGCACCAGGAATGAAGCAGCTGTGTCAGTTCATGTGGTATTCAGTTATTTTACTTTATTTTTTTTTCAGGTATTCATGTATGTGTCTGTGTGCATCTTATAAAAGCCAAACCAAAGAATAATGTGGTTTGAAAAAAAAAATGTAATGAGTCACTAGCTTGATGGAATTTCGGCTATATTTGTAGATTAAACTAAATTCTACAATCACATTAATTGGAGTTCAGCTGAAATTGGCTGCAATATTGGCAGTCCTACATTTATGTATTAAAAACATATTCACAGAATCCTCTCACAATGTATACATATATAAAACCACCCCGATGTACACTTTAAATGTCTTACAGTTTCATTTGTTGATTATACCTCAATAAAGCTGAAAACAAAACAAAACCCCAAAATAACCACATTCACAGTGCTTACTACATACCAGCCACTGTAGTAAGCATTTCATAAACTTTACTCATTTTATTCACAGAACAACCCTATGTGATAAGCGCTATCATTAGCCACGTTGTACCAAACTGAGACACAGAAAAGTTAATTATCACACAACATAAAGTGGCAGCGCCTAGATTTGAACTCAGGCAGCCTGACTCCAGAGTTCATGACCTTACTCATTCAGTTATGCTGCCTCTCAGTGAGCTGATGATTTAAAACTTATCTTTTCTACTTTTTATAATATCATACTCACCATAGTCACACGAGGAGGGGAGAGAACTTTAAAATTATTGTCTTTCCACAAAAGCTTTTGCCTAAAATACTACCTATTGATAGTGTCTTATTTAACATTAGGCATGTAATAAGTAATTTTCAGATTAATTTGCAACTGCCTTTAGATCTTTTCCATTGCAATTAGCATACGTGTATTCAAGCATAGAATGACATGCTTGGAAAGATTGAGATACATGACTATACACATGTAATTCAAAAGGAATGACGGCAGTAGACTGTTAACCACCCAACTCTATAAACAAAACTATTAAAATATTTTAAATGAAGATATTACTTGACTAAGTGACAGTGGTTTTAAATATACGGCAAATGTGGTTTTAAAGACCATTTATGTACTATACTTTTATTTCCATTAGAGTGTATACTGTTAAACATTTTATATAACTTGACAGAGGTCTGGCTCAATTTATTAAATAATGCAGAGGCATTTCTACAAAAGATTCAGTATTTAAAAAATTAAGTATTGTTTTCTTAAAGTATTTTGGTTCTAAAGTAAATAAACGTGATTTCCAAAATAACTTAATTCTAATTTCATTGAAAATGTGGTGTGTCCTGGCAATTATAATAACAGCGAGCACGTATAGAGCATTTCCATTTCGTTAGGCTGGAAGTCCTTTAAATTTTATACTATTTAAGCCAAGGGAGTAATTATTTTCACTAAATATCTATAGCAAGGATTCATCTTATGCATCATGGAACACATTTCAGAGTTAAAGTGAATTATTGTAATAATTGTTGCTTGGCCTCTATTACTTTTACTTTATGAAAATATTTTTCATTTGATCTAATGCTATCTTTATTTCCTCCCAGAAAGTGAGCCATCACTTTTAGAATTCAAGCCATTCAGTAATGGTCCTTTGGTTGGTGGGTTCGTTTACCGAGGCTGCCAGTCTGAAAGACTGTATGGAAGCTACGTGTTTGGAGACCGTAATGGGTAGGTTTCCTGATACCACAATTTGATATATCAAATGGCATATCCTTTGATTAGTGTACAAACGACCATAAAATATTCAAACGATTATCTCCCCTTGGAGGTCAGGTCTGGGACACACATAAATATTATTATTTACTTTTAGTTCCACTATATATGGTGGTTTAATTAAAGAACTTCCTAAGAGATGCTTTTTAAACAGACTTGATCAAGTTCATAAAATAATTTTTTAAGAGCAGAGAAATCCTCAGATGGACTTTTCATATTATGTAGGCTCTTCCCTTCATCCTTAACATAAATTTACAGTGATAATGTTTAATTTGAACACTGTTGTTTTACATGAGTTGTATAAATATTTTAAAAAATCATCTTGGAACGCTAACGATTTTTGTTTTTGCCAGACTGTCAAGACTTTTGGCAAAAGAACTTAATTTGTCTCTATTGATAGGAATACTATAAAATTAAATTTTAGAAGTCACATTATGGATAGTTGTAAGAAACTCTGTGATGAAACCCAAATTAAGAATCTTGTTTCCCAAGTCACTGGCATTCAGGCATATGGCAGAGCTGATACGCTTGGTCGCTAAAAGGAACTAGAAAAGTGTACTGACCCCACAATCTTCCCCCTGTCCCTCTCTCTGATTAATAGCACAGCATGGAGTCTAGTCCTGGAGAGGAAGTATCATTCTCTGGATGAAGGGGAGGGCTTTTCTCATACTCAGGTACTTTTAGTGCCCCCTCCAAACAAAATATCTTTCAGTACTTTCTCCCCACATAAGAATTTCACAATATTCACACACATTATGGGCTGTATTATTTTTTCCCTGTAGAAGCCAGGTCTATGGCACAACAATTATTTATTGTGTTTTATTTTAAACATTTTTATTGTGTTTTTTAAGCAAAAGCATGTTTTCATTGTAGGTTTATGGTATGTTTTTGTTGTAGGAATTTCTTAACTCTCCAGCAAAGTCCTGTGAGCAAACAATGGCAAGAAAAACCGCTCTGTCTTGGCAACAGTGGTTCCTGTAGAGGTTACTTTTCAGGTCACATATTGGGATTTGGAGAAGACGAATTAGGTACTGTACAGACTATTTCTGTTAAATTCTGTTCCCACTCCCTTGCCCAAGAGCCTTTGTTCTTCTCTGAAGAATAAGTATAGCAATCTTCTCCATTTGTCGGAAATGTAACCCACAGCAAAGATGCCCTACTGTAGAGATTAGAGATAGTCCAGTTACGTATTCTTTTCCAATAACCTTTCTCTGGCGGTCTTTAAATCATATTTCCATTTAAAAAATATAAAGGTAACAAAGCAGGAAAATGGGAGGCAGGAACAAAAGAAAATTGTTGAGTCCTGAAGAGAGAGAAACCTTTAAATGTCTACTGATATTTGTGGTGCATCGGAGTCATTTGTTTATATTCTCTATCGGAAAACCTGTCCACTTATCTATGTCTCTTGGAATAAATAAAAAACTTGTTGCAATCTGAATCTCACCTTATCCTGTAGATTTCCTAATTTTTTATTTTTTTGCCAACTGGGGCATGAAATTTGTACAAGGTAATCAGAGTTTGTAGATCTGCTTTCCAACAGAATAGAAATTTGGGATACCATACAATATATTTATTGGTTGTTAACAAAATGTATAAGGCTCAATAAGCAAAAAGAAGTTGAAATTGGAATGTAATCAATCAAAGAGTGAAAATGCTACTAGTTTTAAATTACAGAGATAAAGGCAGGTTTTATAATGATGCTCTTTAAAGAACAATATCCAAACAAACCATGGTTACTATGCTCCTTTAGCCTCAAAGATGAATTTCCAGGGGTCAGCCCTGTGGCCGAGTGGTGAAGTTCGCACGCTCTGCTTCGGCGGCCCAGGGTTTCACCGGTTCTGATCCTGGGCACGGACGTGGCACCACTCATCAGGTCATGCTGAGGCGGCATCCCGCATGCCACAAGTAGAAGGACCCACAACTAAAAATATACAACTGTGTACTGGGGGGCTTTGGGGAGAAAAAGGAAAAATAAAATCTTTAAAAAAAAAGACGAATTTCTAGGTATTAAGAAAGAAGAGTTATGTTTCTCATCTAAATTAGAATGTTTTCTCTAAAAGTCTAGATTCGGTTTACCTGTATCAAATGGAGATTCATCAGAATTTGTTCTATGTCATTCACTTAGGTTAACAAAGGACTTAGACAAGATTACTGAAACACATAATACATATTCCAGACCCACAGGAATTTAATGATTCAAAGAAGAGAAGTCCAATCTGTTCTGTTCTTGTTCCAGCATTGAAAGCACTGTATAATTAATTTTCCCTTGATATTCTCCTACCCTACTCAAAGGAACCAGAAAGATACTCTTTCTTACTTAAATCCTCTGTAATGTAATTTAAATTTCATTGGCTAACTCCATTTTTAAAATATAAATTAGGATTAAATTTGCAGCAGAGTTAGAAATGAATTTTTAGATGTTGTGACTGAATCATTTTCAGTTCCCCAGACCTTACTACAAATGGCTCACCATCAGTCATCCTATTAGCATCACCACCATTGGTTAAAATATCCAAACATCTATCTACACTTAATACTAGATTGGGAGCAGAACCAACAAATGAAGCATTCACAATCCTTACTGTCCAAAAGCTGCAATATCATGTATACTTTATAATTAAAAATACACTTTCACTGAATTACACTTTAATGTGAAACTCTTTGGCTTTAATTAAGAGCCATATAAGAAAATGAGGAGGTTTTACATTTTTTGAACAAAAGTGTTGAGCGTCTGTTTTCTCTCTGTGTTTATTCTTTAACTATAAACCAGGAGGGTTTGTCCTAAGGGTTAAATGAGGTAAGCTATATAAAGTACTTGACAAAATAAATATTTTTTTGTTTGCATTCCTTTGCTTTTTAGGGTAAACCCCATAGCATCCCTTTCAGAAGTAAGAAAGTAGTAAGTGTGCTTCATATATAATAATAGAGTGGAACTGAGAAATATAGGATAAATCAAGGAATATTTCATGAGAACCAAATATATATTTTAAAGCCTTATAAACATATAATCATAAATACAACTTATAAGTCCATATTCACGTGAACCATTCTATACATTGAATTATATGGAAGTAGTGGTGATAAATAAGAGTGGTTCCCGGGCCAGCCCTGTGTCTGAGTGGTTAAGTTCACACGCTCCACTTCGGTGGCCTGGGGTTTCGGCAGTTCAGATCCTGGGCACCGACCTAGCTCTGCTCTTCAGGCCATGCTGGGGCAGCGTCCCACGTAGAGGAACTAGAAGAACCCGCAGCTAGGATATACAACTAAGTACTGGGGGGCTTTTGGAGATACAAATAGAAAAATATGAGAGGAAGATTGGCAATAGATGTTAGCTTAGGGCCAATCTTCAAAAAAAAAAAATTTCAAAAATCAAGAGTGTCTCCTCCTAAAAGGATTTCATCATCATGAACCAGCCTAGCATCAAGAATTAGGGAGGTAGACTTGAGGGTGAGCATCAGGGTTTCTCTCTTCCCAAATATTTATTTTAATATATTTTGTTTTTAAATACTAAAAGTTAAAAAGGAGTATCCCAATTCTATCTGGCCTCAAATTGTCAATTAACAATAACAACTCAGTAACCAAACCTTTCAATCTTGGGCAGAATAATCAAGATAAAACTTGCCCTTCAGCACTCATTCTGCAAATATTTATTGAGCACCTATTCTGTGCAAAGCTCTGTCCTGGGTTCTGGGGACACAGCAGCAGAGAGAGAGACATGAAATTTATATTCTAAAGGAGAGGACAATAAAAATAAATATTGCTTTGGTTGATTTTTGTTTTGAATATACTGTATGTCAATTGGTAATAAGTGTTTTCTAGAAAAATCTAGTTGTGAAGAGGGACAGAGATTTCTAGGGTTGGGAAAAGTGCAATTTTCAGTAGTACAGTCAGGAAATTTGCAGGAGAGGAAAAAGTCAACCCAGTGGAAATCTACTGAAAGGCAGGAGCCTGAGACAGAACCTGGGACCGATGCTGAGACAGGAAGAGCCTGGGACAGAAGCTGAGATAGGAAGCAAGTCAAGAGCCTAGGACAGGAAGAGCCTGACACAGGAGCCTGGGACAGGAGCCTTTCTCATGTGTTCAAAGCCAAGAGGCTAGTGAGGCTAGAGAGGAATGAACAAGAGGGCAGAACGTTGCAGATGACGTCAGAGCAATAAGGGGGTCATCAGAGGCCACTGTCATGACTTACGTTTGCCCGGAGAGAGATTAGAAGCCATTGGAGTGTACTGAGTGTGATCCAACTTATATGACCTAACTTGCTTTAAAAGAATCTCTGTGGCTGGTATGTAAACACAGAGGAACAAAGGTAGAAGAAGGAGATCAGTGAGGAGGCTGTTGCCATAATCCAGGTGAGAGATGAATGTCTGCTTGCGCTGGAGTAGTAGTGGATGTGGAGGGACGGCTTCAGAATCTGGATGCCCTGTGAAGGCAGGCTTGTGCAACTCTTTCATAATCTTTAGGCAAGTGATCTTCCTGAGGATATATGGAAAAAAAATATGTATACACACATACATATATATATATACATACAAATACATTTATATACGTATATACACATATACATAAATATCTGCTAGGCAATAGGAAGTAAGCCCTTGTAATACTGTGAATTAACATATTATATTTCTCTCTTCATAGGTGAAGTTTACATTCTATCAAGTAGCAAAAGTATGACCCAGACTCACAATGGAAAACTCTACAAAATCGTAGATCCCAAAAGGTGAGGTTTTTTGATATTCCTTTAAGTCAAGTAATATTCTCCTCCAAGTTATTCCGGTGCATTCAAATTGGTGAGAGACGAATTACAGTTAGCAGTCAACAAAGATGAAGACTTCTGCCCTGTCCGTATGCTAAGTGCTGTCCTGAGAGGCCCTCCAGCGCCAGTCTCTGGGGCCTAGACGTGACCACGCTGAACTTCAACAGCCTTATTGCGATCACACATTCTTGTCACCCTTGTCATCAGAGAGCAGCATTATATTTGTAAAATCAGAGTCGTCCGCTAAACGCCAGAGGACCCCGATGTGTGAGGCGGTGGCTTCAGCACTCCTGTTGGAAGCAATAAACCCTCCTTTCTTTCGAGAAAACTGGAAACATACCAGCATAGATTACAGCTGCTGGGTATGATTTTTGTTAGGGAATCAGGATAAGTTATTCTGGCAGTTCAACATCTGAGCCTCATTTCAAAACTGTCTGGAAGCTCCCAGCTCTCATGCAGGCTTCCGTGACTAAACAAATGAAAACTGAAGGTTTTCTTATTTACCTCAGCAAAAGGAGGATTTGAATGTTTTAATCCTTTAAAGAATATATTTATCCCACCCCGCTCCTTCTCACTCACCCCATCACAACTTCAACACACACACAACTTTCACCTTACCTTGAATTATAATTAGTCAGTTGTTAATTTCATGGATAAAATCGGAACTATCAAAGCTGCTAAATTTATGTACTGTCACATAGATATTAGTCATAAATTTAGAAACAACTATTGCAGGACTGAAGTACCCTCACAGGTAGGACTATTGTTGAACACCAGTAGTTGTCAGGCTGTAGCTCCACCACGCTGTGAGTTTCACATTCTTTCTATACTAACTTATCTTCATGAGCCATTTGCAAATTTAAATTCCCAAATTTCAAGTCTCTTTTAGAAGAATAAATTCTAATAATCTGAAAAGTTTGCTAAAAGCATTAATTTCATTCCATTTTAAAAACATCACTTGTAACTTGTAAATTGTGTTTGTTTTTCTGAAAAAGCCACTGACTAACAAAATGGAGATTCTTGTCCTTTTTCCATATCACAAAACACTATCTTTCCTGAGAAAAATATAGGCTGTCATTGGTCCTGCAGACCAAAAAGAGGAATAATCAATTGTGGATGGTCTCTCCGCGGTGTCACAGATACTCATCCATCACACAATGAGAGCTTTCCTTCTCTATGTAACAGTACACATTTTCTTTCACAATTAGAGAAGTACCCATATATGTCCTGTAGGAGTTCGTTACCTCCTTGATTATGAAACCAATGTCCTCTTTGTGAAAAGCAAAGTAATGAATGAAAATAATAGACATTTCGGCAAATATCGAAGTTGGCAATATTAAGGACAAATATCAAACTAATGTTAATTCATAAACTAGCAGCATTCTAATGATTCATAATGAGGTCTTAGGGATTTCACTCAGCTCTAATGCCATTCATTTCAAAGTAATCGTTGTTATTCCATTATATTCATCAAAGTTGATATGCTTTTGCCAGCTTCCTGGTAGTGTTATAATTCTCCCTCCTCCTCACAAAAGTCTTTTCCTCTTCATCTGGCTTGTTTAGTCTGTTGGTGGTGAGTTGAGGTGAATTTTACACCTTCAATCCATTATTAGTGTCTAATTACCAGGGTGGCCATAAGGGACCTTGGCTTTGTGATCTTAGGGCCTCCTCTCGTAGGGTGGTCTCAGAGTGACATACCTGAAAGGCCTGACTTCTCATTATGGTGCCTGTTTCTGGTGAGTTGTGTCATGTGTGGGGCCAGGGTTAAGATTTGTGTTTGGTTTTCAGAAGGTGGGGGGCGTAACAGAGTCCCAAAGTCACCGTCCTTGTACACAGGCGTAGGCATAAATTTCAAAATTAAACTGACTATAAGAAAACAAATGTTTTCATAAACATTTGTTGGGGGCCTCATGCTGTTTCGATTTGGATGCCAACGTTCATTCTTACAGCATTTCTCCCTAGATGATCTGAAGTTCTGAATAAGCAGACGCGTTAGTGTATGTGGACAGGATTATTTTGGAAACACAAGCTAATTACTAGCCTGGCAGCATTCAGGGTGTCTGCTTCAGAGCAAAATTGTTTTTCTAAAACTTCTCGAGTGGAGAATTTGAAGAGCCTCATCTTCTGAAAAAATAATATATAGACATTTCTTGTTATATCAAAAATCTAATTCAAATTAAAATCTTAGGTTATTGTATTGGGGAGGAGCCCTAGACTTGTTAGAATAATGTTTTCAGAATGACTTTCAAACATCAATTGACGTATGGCCCTAGAAGAGAATAATAACAAATTATAAAATTTTTATATTCTATATTACGTGTCATAGAAGTTACATTCTTACTCACCATACGATTTATGTTTTTCCTGCTTTTCCCTAAACACATGCACACTCACATACAAGAAAGATAAGGGAGTTTAGAAACCATATGCAATATTCTTAAGTCATTTTTGGCAAGAGCAAATGAGGTTCCAACATTGTCACCTCAGTCTGTAAGGACAGTTTGCTCTAAGGCTATATGTTACATAATCATTTATGTAAGTTTAAAATCATTTGCAGTGTGCACCCTTGTCAGAAAAGAATGGCAAGATAACTTATTATAAAAATCAAATGCCATTATTTATAAGGAAAAAAATGAAAATTTATTAAGAATATAATCAACTTTCTCTAAAGCTTAACTAGAACTCAGGAGTTATTTAAGGAAAAAAGCAGAAAAGAAATGAATTTTGCCTCCATGTTAGAACGTTGAACACACTTCAGGAATACCTTCAGAGGCGGAGCAGTTGCATCTCATGGCAGAGTGGAGTGAAGATCAAGTCAATACCAATTCCCCAACTTGCTGGGCCAACTTATTGGGTCCCAAGAAATCTGTGTTACTGGGTTCTGCTGCCCTGATGTGGGGAGCTCCTTCAACCAGCAGTTCCAGAAAACAGATTTCAATACATTGAGCCCAAGAGCTGGGCAATAATTTTAGTTTCACTTAGTTGTGCCATCTGAGACTAGTCAAGACGAGGAGCGAGTCTGTCCGGGTAGGACAAGGAGTCAATTGGTCTTGTCTCTGAATGCTTCTTAATGTGGGACCCTGCACCTCATTTCACCGTACTGTGCCCCATTGCCCATCGATAAAGTGTGGACTTATTTCTGCGGAGTCTTGTGAAGATAATTAAGGAATATATTTAAAACGTATTAAACTGTTTAGTATTGTTGCTGTTCATTCCATGCATTCGAGAATTATTTTCAGGTGATCTCTCAACTTTTAAGGTTGTCTTAGTTCCAAACTTGGGATAAAGGTGTGCATGGAGCTTTAAAGAGCTCTTAATACCTAGTGTTCAAATGTCCAAGTCATGCATTGGATGCTTGCTGTTTATTCAGTCTTTTCAGAATCAAACAAATGCTCCTGAAGGTGGAAATTAAAGAATTCTAACAGAGTTATGACTCTCCAAGCTTCACTTTTTTTTTAAAGATTTTACTTTTTTTCTTTTTTCTCCCCAAAGCCCCCCAGTACATAGTTGTATATTCTTCTCTGTGGGTCCTTCCAGCTGTGGCATGCGGGATGCCACCCCAGCGTGGCTCGATGAGCAGTGCCAGGTCCGTGCCCAGGATTCGAACCAATGAAACACTGGGCTGCCTGCAGCAGAGCGCGCGAACCCAACCACTCGGCCACGGGGCCAGCCCCTCCAAGCTTCATTTTTATAGAACACAATTTTTTTATGCTATTGACAGAGATTCAGTTGAACTTAAACCACGTGATCTTTTTGTGATTCTGAAACATTTCCAGGGTTATTTCTCCGGGAATTTGTAAAATAAAATTATTCTTAATCATGTTCATTTAATTACTATGTCCCAGTCTTGCTATATTTTAACATATTGCCTATCTGCTACCCAAGCAAGTCACACAGACCCTTCCCTTAGGAGGTCTATAAATTAAAAATGCAAATTCCAGGCTCGAGAGGTCATCTTACAGAAATGTTGTATCCCTGAACTCCTGTGTGACCAATATCAAAAACTGCTCCTCGTGCCTCCACCCTCCTTCTCCCTTCAGTGGCCCCACTTGCTGCTCTTTGTTTATTTATTTATTTTTAATATCTTCATCCTGCTCTTTATTATACTGGATGCTGAAGAGTGCTTTTTTTCCAAAAAAATCACTTCATAAGAGGAAATCAGCTCTGTTTAACCTTCACATATGTCTCAGGGAGCCGCAGGCAGCTCTGCCATCCCAAAGAAAGTCATGCATAATAGAGAGGCTTTAGCCCAATAAGCCAGTCTAGTCCCAATTCATCAGTCAAAGTTTTATGCAAGTGGCCCCCCTAGGTTGATAAATCCCCACAGTGCCTGTTGACCCAGCTGCCAAGTCCTCTTGCTGCAGGCGCTGTTTTCACGGCCACCCTGACAGTAATACAAACTGTTTAGCAGCTCCATTGACCTTTCAGCTATTAACAGGGACACAGGCTCCACTAGGGACCCGTTTTCAAACATGACAGAATTTCTTAACACTGGAGGTCATGAACAAGTATATGCCCTATAAAAATCCATTCAGCATGGTGGATTTGAAGTCTAAAGGACAAGGAAGCATGTTCCACATTTTTGCTATTATTATCTTTCTACATACCCAATATCTAAAAATGGATATATACTTATCAGCCAGCTTATATTTTATTCTTAATGTCCTATATTTTATGTTGTGGTGCACAGCACCTTTTTAACTAACAAATCCTTTCTAAGCTACCATATAGCATCTGAAAGGTTAAAGATATGTTACAAAGTCAAAACTTCTAATGAATGGATGAGCGTGCATATATAATATAGAGCAATGGCCTAAATATAACTGGAATTTTATTCATACCTTACCAAGATTTGTGATGCACGTATATATACACACACGCACTTAAACATACTCAGGTATTCCATACAGTGCAATGTAGAGGCATCACCTATTTCAAAACAAATAGAAAATATTATGTAATAATTTATTTCAAAAGTTTTATCTAAATGACTATGTTGTTTAAAATGCTTATATAAGGCTTCTTATGTGTATATCCTATTTCCTGGAGATGTGACATATGACCACAGCATTCAAAGGAATTTTCTGCTTTATGTTATAGTCTCTCTTAAACTATCAATTTTGAATGTTGGAATATCAGTTCCTGGAGTAATTATACAGATTGCTATGAAAACTTGATTGAATTTCCACTTATAAATGGCATTTGTTAAAACATAAAATAGAGAATATGAATAATTAAGAATATATTCTTCAAAATGAGAATCATTTGTTAAGACTCAAAAACTCTTAAAAGCTTTTCTTTTTAATTCTTATGTTTCTCCCCCTCCTGGGACAATGGTGGAAGTCTGATATTATTAGGCCTTCTAAATATCTTATACTTTTATTGTAAGGCAATGTATCATCCGATATTGCAGTACTTGAGATAAAGGTAGATTTAGTCTTGCATAAAACAGCCACATGAATGTCTAAAAGATGTTGTCTAGAGGAAAGTGTACTTTTTAAAGAAAACACTGCATCTTAGCATCATGTTTTTTGCTAATTCATTTTAGTCAAGTTAAAAAATCTGTTGCGTACTTGAGTTGTTTTTGTCAGTATTGATAAATGAATCAAAAAATGTAACATTAAAATTTGGGAATTTGTCACTCTAACAGTCTTCAAAGAGAATTTAAACTGACATTTTTGTGTTCTTTTAAAGGACAGAAACATTTCAAATTTTTACTTCCCATTTAAAGCATTTAGTGATATTTAAAATTTCTGCCTTCATATGATATAAAATTAATACACTGGTAGATTAATACGCAACTTTATAAGTGGGAAAAGGGTGTTTCTTTTTGGATGATTTCTAAAAGAAAAATCCTGTAGGCTTTAAGTCTTTTGAAACATGTTGTAACCAAAGTGTTATTTAAAATACCTATTACAGACGTTTCTTATTTAGTGTCTAACATTTTTGTCAATTATGGTTTATGAATTAAGTTATTAAGATAAAAATTGATTTTGCACATAAAATTCTGAACAGAATAGTTTCCTTCTTTATATTAGGAAGCAATGGCACTGGCTTTTTTATTGTATCTTAATTTTCCAGTTTTTATTTTTTTAATCCTATAAAAGTACAATTACACTCCAAGATTAAATCAGGAGATTTAATCACTCTACAAGTATCTTTTGCACGTCTCCTGTGTTCATGATATTTTATTATGTGCTATGGAGGGAGAATATAAATGGGAACTTAGTCCCATCCTCTAAGGAGCGTATTCTCACTTTAAATCAGGAGATTGCTCACATTATCAAAAATGTAAATAATATTTTCTAAGATAAATAACACTTTGGGACAAAAAACTTAGGCCAGAACATCGTACATTATAAATTGCTGAATTAATGGTCCAGGAGGCTATGGTTACTGAGGTGGGTAAAACTCACCAGGATTTGGCTTCCTGGTCCAGTGTGTTCTGCTGCAGTGTGATTTTCCTTAACACTAATTAGCTCAGGTATAAAAGAGAATGATGACTGCGTAACATGCAAATTATGTAGCTTTTCAAGCAAGAATAGCCAGAATTGTAAGAAAAGCAACAATCCCTCAACCCGGCTGTTGCACATGCAGAAGGAGCCTTTTCAGCTTAGTGTTAAAATGAAACATAAGTGCCTGCACTGGGTTTCCCTCCCCCAAGAGGCATTCCTCCAGCCTAGCCTGGCTCTCTGCAGGTTGCACTTCCTCCTGAGTTCAAAGCTTTCCTTGCATCGCCATTTTGTTTTTGTGTGTTTCTAATCTCCCCTGAGGCCATGTCCAGCTACTGCCAACCTACTCACAGGGTTGTGCAAACTCTCTCTCAAGGTACCAAGTCTTGTTTTTGTTAGTGCTTTAGTTACAAAGTTGCACAGATCTTGAGGAGTCTGTCCCAACCCTATTTTCCCCATAAGCCTTTTATTTTTAATATGCGATTTTGTAGAACACGAGAATTTTTAGGAGCATGTACATTGAATTAATGCAGAGACACCTATTTTTCTATTTCACCTCTAATAATTAGACCGGTTTCTGAATTTA